CGTCTTTCCGCCTCCCCTCCCTGGCCGCCGCCGCTGCTTGATCTCCGTCCCCCACAACACCGCCTTCTCCCCCCCCTCTCTCTCTCTCTCTCTCTCGGCTGTCCCTATATCTCCCTTTCTCCCCCCCTTCACGTGCGCGCGCGGCGCCCCCTTCTCCCTCCTCGCACATCGAGTTCATGTGCCCCTCCCCACAGAGAGCCCTCGCTCGCCCTACCTTTCTTTCCCATCCCCTCCTCCCCCCAATCCCCCCCCCCTCCCCCTCGCGCGCGCCGCGCTCGGCTGTCCACCATCCTCCGGACGCCGGACCTACCGCCGAATGTCCTTGTCTCACAAAACAAAGCCCACTGGCCTTTACTTTTTTTTCCTTGTCCCATCTCGTGACCTCTGTTGCATGCCGCCCTCTCCTTGTCATTGCGTCTCTTCTTTCTCTCTCCCTCTCTTTGTGCGCCTGTGCTTGCCCCCGGCACCGGCCATCCCCGCTGGGTGACGCGCGCGCGCGCGCGTGTCCCTTGGGATTCCGGCCAACAGGGCACACCGCCACATCGCCCGGCTACCATGCTGGCCTCCGGTGTCGCCTCGACCGGTGGTCTCTCTGCTGTCGAGGCGTGCTGTGCCTGCACACTAGCCGAGAGCATGGGACAGCACGTGGGCGGGGAAAGGCCCGGGGAAAAAAAGCACCCAATAGGGCCGAGGCAGGCAGAAGGGGAGAAGAGTGTATTCCTTTGGGGCATGGCCAGCATGGATAGCGGCGGGGGAGGACACAGCACAAGATGCAAGGACAGGGATCAATTTGGGGAGGGGGGGGGGGGGGGGGGAATGGTGGAGGCGCGAATGGCGCCGGCGGCGGGAGACCGTCCACACACGTGCACGCGCGCGCCCTTTAGTAGTCGCTCTGCGAGCGCCAGAAGGCAAAGTCCAGGGCATTGACCTGGAGCACGCCATTGGCCAGGCCAAGCAAGGCATACGTGACCGAGGCGCAGGCCGTACCGGCCGCGTGCGCGTGCGAGCACGACTGCGAGCCGGCCGGCACAAAGTGATGCCCGGCGAAGCCCGGCGTCGGGACCGTGCACCGCCGGCAGAGGGTGTCGACCACGGTTTGCAGGGCCTCGGCCGAGGCCTCGTGTGCCAGGGACCCAGGGCCAGGGGAATGGGGCGACTCGCCGCGGCCGCTCCGGGACCCGGCACTGGCCGGGATGTGGACCCCCGGCACCGGCGGTGGCAGGTGCAGGTGCAGCCGATGGTTCGGCGTGGTTACCAGGCCGATGGCCGTGATCGGGGCTGGCACCGAGCCAGACCGGTGGACCAGCGTCTGCATTTTGTGGGATCAAATTTCCGGGCAACATCGCGCGGGCCGGTCAGCACGTGGGAATCCAAGGGAGGGGGGCGCGCGGCGCGCGTGGGCATCGCGGGGCAAGAGAAAAAAGGGCCGAAAAAAAACCCGGGGGGGGGGGGGGGGGCCTCTCTAAACCCAAAAAAGGGCCCGCGGCCCCCCCCCCCCCCGCCGCCCCCCCCCCCAAAAAAAAGAATGAAGGAAAGGGGAAAAAGAAAAAAAAAAAGGGCACCAGCCAGACATGTGCAGCATATGTGCGTACCAGGGCGTTGGCATCCACGCGATACACGTGCAGGTGTGTCTTCAGGGCCAGCAGAACGAATGACCCGCAGGGCGAGGCGCGCAGGAGGGGCGCATGCTCGGCGGCCGCGGCCACCGGATCGGCCGACGCGCGCCCGGCCAGGCCGGCCGTCGGGGACCCGATGAACAGGGCCCCCTGGTGCTGGACCGTCGACAGGGAGGGGGAGAACTCCCCGGCAAGGGAGAGCTGGTGCAGGCGCGTGCCATTGACCGTGTACAGGACCAGGCGCGATTCGAAGATCGACGCCACATCGGCGATGTGGTTGAAGAGCCCGTGATCCACGGCATCGCCATTGACCGGCATCGGATGCAGCCACAGGGGGGTGTACAAGACAACGAAGCACCCATCGCGCACCGGGGCCACGGCCGAGGGGGCAAGCCCCCGGGCCAGCAGCGCCGCCTCGTAGATGGCCCGCACAAAGCGCCCGGACGTGGCCAGGTGCAGCAGGACCCCGGAGGCGGAGGCGGAGACAACGATGCCGGGCTGTACCAAGGCAGGGGGAGGGGGGGGGGGGGGGGGGGGGGGGGGATTGAGCAGGTCGGTCAGAACAGGCGCAGTCATGGCGCGCACATCCCCTCACCCGGGGAGAAAGAGGGCGGCCGGCGAGTTTTTGGTCTTTGCTTATGTGGTGTTTGGATTACGGGTTTTTTGTTATGTCAGCTTCTAAACAGGCAACCGAGGACCGCACATGTGCGGGGGGCGGAGGAGGGGGGGGGGGGAGGTGGGGGAAAAGAAGCGACAAAAAAGCATACCTCCGACGGGTGGTCCAGGTAGCAGGACGCCCGGACGGCCGAATCGTGACCCTCGAGGCGGGCCCGGACGGCCCGGTCGTCCAGGCGCCCGCGCTGCAGGCTGTGCCGGAGGAGCGCCTGCCCGGCGGCGGAGCTCAGTTGCTGCAGGGCTGCCAGCTCGGCCGGGGAGATGGCCGCCCCGTCGAGGCTGCACATCATCTGCCGGCCGGAGGCCGAGCTGAAGGAGATGCCCGGCAGCCCGGCCAGGACACCGAGATTGCGCGCCTCGGCCGTGCCCCACACCCGGCTGGCCTGGGCGAAGGCACTGACCACGGAGCCCAGCTCGGCCGGCTGGAACTGCGCCAAATCCAGGGAATTGGCCACAGGGGCCCGCGGGCCCGGGCCCGACAAGCCCACCGGTCCGACGGAGATGTCATTCTCCCGGGCGGCCGAGGCGGACAGGTGCCCGGCCTTGCTGGACCCGGCACTGGACCCGGCCCCGACGAGGCTCTGCACGCCGGCCGACAAGCCGGCCCCCACCAGCGAGGCCCCGGCCACCACGGAGCTGGCGGCCCCGCCGGCACCGGACCCGCGGCGCTCATCGCCGATGGTCCCCGCCCCGCCGAGCACGCCCCACAGCGACAACTGCCCGCTGCGGGTGCCCACCAGCAGCGACCGGCCGCAGCGGGTCCAACTCAGCGACGTGACCGTGTCATCCAGCCGCAGGATTTGCAATGTCCGCCCGGTCAGCGACAGGATGGTCCCCAGGCCGAGGGTGCTGGTGGCCTGGGAGGCCAGCTCCCCGAGCAGCTGGCTGGTCACGCTGAACCCATCCGGCAGCTGGGTCACGCGAACCGAGCCATCCCAGTGCCCGGCACTGGCCACCACACTGCGAGATGGGTCGAAGACAAAGAGCCACCCGGTGGCCAGGGGCCGTGACCGGGCCAGCCAGGCGGACCCGACCGCCGCGCTGAGGGTCGGCAGGCCGGCCGACCGCCGGAGGGCCACGACCGCCGGCGAGTCGGCCGGGCCCGCGGTCTCGGCGCCCCCGGCCAGGCCCGGCTGCTGCCCGGGGGCGCTGCTCGCCACGGCCGCCTGACGGAGGTCCTCGGCCTCGAAGCCGAAGAAGCCACCCGCCGGCCGGGCGCGCCCAGCCCCGGCGGTCGTGGCTGCCCGGATGGCCGGAGTGCCGGCCCACGCGCCAGACAGGCTGTGACACTGGGCGCGCGTGGCAAAGAGCTCCGCATCCAAGTGCGGGTGCAGGTACCGGCGGAAGTTCGGTGCCGAGCGGGGGGTCTGTCGTGAGCGGAGGGCCGCGGCCCCGGTTCGCGGGGCCGCCTCCCCGACCAGGTCCCCGGCCCCGGTGTGCAGGGCCAGGAGATTCAGGTTGGTGGACATCAGCGACAGCTGGCTCGGGGTCGGGGCCGTGGTGGCGGGCGAGGCCAGGCGCGACGCCGACCGAGGCCGGAGGTCGGTCGTGGCCGGGCCCCCCGCCGAGAAGGTGGTGGTCGTGGCTGCGGGAGGCGCGGCCGCGGCCGCCGCCGCAAAGTCCCCCGGTGCGAGGGAGAACAGCAACGGATCCACATCCAGATAGAAGGGCAACGGGATGACTGACATCGAGGCGGAGGCCGGCACGTCCGGCAAGTTGTTTCGGCCGGCCGGCTCGTCCTCCACGCCGAGCGAGATGCCACCCTCGGCGCCGGCATTTGCGAGAGACTGCTGCTGCTGCTGCTGCTGCTGGCCCTGCAGGTGCTGCCAGTGCTGCTGCTGCTGCTGCAGGGCGGAGGCGCGCGCGCCACCGGCCGCCGGATCGCCGACCGGGGTTTGGGGGAGCTGCGCCGCGAAGCCGGCCTGGCGCACGGACCACCGATGCAAGCCGTATGACTGGTCGGCGCTGACGGTCAGCAGCCGGCCCCAGGCGGTCACCTTGTCCGGGGCGCCGCCGGCGCTGGCCGAGGCGCTGCCACCGCCGCCGGAGCCCGAGGCGCCAAGACTCCCGCCACCACCGCCGAGGGACGATCCCGACCCGGGCCCGGCCCCGGCGGCCGGGCCGGCGTCCGACCCGGCGCCCGAGGCGCTGGACCCCCCGGTCGGCTGCTGGCCAGCCAGCCAGGCCGCCGGGTTCTCGTCATCATGCCCGACGAAGTCCAAATCACTGACAAAGATGATCGGCACCCCGGGCGACACGTCAATCGACCCGAGGGAGAAGTGCAACTGCTCGTCGGTCCAAATCGGGGCCACCAGTGACCGCCGGGCGCCAGGCGGCGAGGCCGGCCCCGGGGCCAGCGGCGTCGGACCGGCATTGGCATTGGCAGCCCCGGTCTGGAGGAGACCCGGCGACCCGGCCGGCGGGGCAATGGCACTATCGCCATCGGGCGAGCTGGGCTCCGGAAGGTCCGCCCGCAGAGGCGTCGACGGCGGGCCCGGCACCACCGGGCTGCCCGGCTGTGACTGCGGCGGCGGCGGCGGCGGCGAGGGCGGGCAGCCGCTCGGCGAGCCCGGCACATCGGGCCCCGGTGCATCGGCCCCCGGCAGGGTCCGCGTATGCACCGCACTCGGGGCCACCATGGTCGACCGGCGGAAACGCGACCTGTCGCCCCCGGCGGCAGGAAGAGTGCACCCGAGCGAGGGGACGAAGGCTCGCTGCGGGTGCGCCGCGAAGAAGAGCTGGCGCGGCGTCTGGCCGAAGGTGGCCACCTGGTCCTGTGTCGCCTTCAGCAGGAGGGGGTCCTTCTCGCGCAAGCGCCCCGGGTCGTAGTTCCCCTCGTAGGTGAGCGAGTGGAAAACTAAGGGGGAGGAGGGGGATGGAGAGTGTGCGTGAGGAATGGAGGAGACCAGGGGAGAAGGCAAGTGGCGAAAGGCAAATCAAGCGAGTAGGGGGCGCGCGCGCGCGCGAGCGCAGAATGTGCACAGCCAGGGGCAGCCTCATAATCGGCCCGGCTATGGAGAGGAGCCCCCCCCCCCCTCCGGCCGGCGAAGGGGAGCATGAAGCACGCACCATTGTTGGCCTTCACGGCCTCCGCGCCACGCTGCTTGAAGCCGAAGATCAGATCAATCCACAGGTGCAGCTGGCTCGACACGATGTCCGACTCGAGGGCGGCCCGGTGGATGCGGATGAACTGCTCCGGGCTGCCATGGGCCCAGGGGGGCAGCTCCACATCGTCCAGGACGTATGCCGGAGCCGGGGGGCCCGGCGGGGCCGGGCATGGAGCCGGCTCGCAAGAGCACATGTCCGCCGGCTCGCACGCGCACGCGGTGGTCGCGGCCGCCGCGGCGGCCGCCGCCGCCCGAGCCGCCTCACGCCGTGCATGCCCCTTCGAGTAGCAATCCAAATCGTCGACCCCCTCCGGCAGCAGGACTCCCAGGTCGAAGCGCCCGGTGTTGCGGAAGAGCTCCGGCAGGTAGAACATCTCCGGGATGAGCTCCTTCAAGTCGGAGGTGGAATTGAGGGCGTTGCTCCAGGCCTGGGCCAGGGAGAAGAACGACCGGCCGGGATGGTCGAACCGGTCGCCCTGGAAGTGCAGGAAGTGCGAGGTGAAGGGCTCCACCCGGAGGAGGAAGAAAAGCACGGTCCCCATGTTGGAATAGTGCGACCCATAGAGGAAGGGCTCCAGGTCGTCGCTGTCCCACTGTTCGAAGCGCGCCCGGAAGTAGGCCAGCCGGGAGGGATTCAACGCGCCCATGGGCCGGGACAAGTCCCGGTAGTTGGCCGGGTCGGTCAGGTCCAGCTCCGACGTTTCGTAATTGGCCAGCACCCAGGGGAAGACCGGCCACTGGTTGAGATCGCTGTAGGTCCGGCCGGCCAGCATGTTCAAGTGCATCAGGTAATCGAAGTTGCTCAGACGCCCGGCGGACCATTGCTGCGTCACCTCGGCCAGGGCATTGCGCTCCAGCACATCCAGCACCGGGGCCCCGCCCGGGGCGTGCGTCAAGGAGGACCCCACCGAGGAGAAGGCATCAAAGGCCCGGGTCAGGGTGGTTGACAGGGCACTGGCCAGGCTTTCGGTGGCCGGGGAGATCTGCTTCAGCAGGCCCAGGGCCCGGTCGCGGGTTTTCCGCGTGTCGGCCAGCGACTCGTGGATCGGGAAGTTGAAGAACACCGACCGCCGGCTGGCCAGGAACACCTCCAGCGCCGTTTGGCACAGGAGATACCGCCGGGGCTGGATGCTGGAAATGGCATCCGCCGTCCACACCCGAAGCCGGTGCTTCATCGGCACGTCGGTCAGGGCGACGGCCGCCTCGGCGGCGGCCGACCCGCGCGACCCGCTCCCGGCCCCACGACCGGCACCCCGGCGCCCGGGCGCCTCCAGGTAGTAGAAGGCCCGGAAGTAGAAGAGGGCCGTGGTCCAGCGCCGGCCCGGGCCGCCCTGGCGCCCGGCCGACAGGGCCGGGCTGATGATATGCCCGGAGCTGACCTCGGCGTCGGCATGCTCGGCATGCTCCGGCCCGGTGCCCGGGGTGCCCGGGGCCAGGGTCGATCCCTGCGGCCCGGCCCCCGGCGCATGTCCCGACAGCGGAACCCCCGGGACAATGGTCAGCTCGCCGGCCAGGACATACCCCGGCCGGACGAGCTCCGCCTTGAGGGTGTGCGACCCGGGGGGCAGCCGCGCCTGCCGGTTGGAGGCCAGCCCCTCGGCCGACAGCGAGCCGGAAATGTCGTCAATAAGCTCCTCCAGCTCGGCCGAGTGCGGCCCGCCGGCCGTGTCGACTTCCTCCGCATCGGCGGCCAGCTTCCGGAGGACGGCCTCCAGCCGCGGGGAGGCCGGGCTCGAGGCGGGCCCCGTGTCCGCGGCGCCGGCCCCAAGGCCCAGGCCCTGGTCCGGCTGCTCGGCATCGCCGGCCGGCGCGATGGCCGCCAAACGCGTGCGCACATACAGGCTGGCCGAGGACGTGGCAATGGAGGCCCCCTCGTGCGAACTGCCGCCATAGTGCCGGGTCAGCAGGCGCCGCCGGCGGAAGGCATCCTCGGTCAGGGCCAACCGCCAGTAGGTCGGCTGCCGAGGCAGCAGGCTGAAGACCGACGGGTCCTGCAACGGGCGCAGGGAGCTGATGACGCCGCGACATTCGCAGAACAACCGCCCGGCCAGCGACAAGGCCGGGCTGAAGGAGGCCGCGGTCAGATCGAACAGCGGCCCTGGCCCGGAGGACACGCCGGCGGCCCGGGCCACCGGGCCACCGGTCCCGAGCCCCAGCGACCGGTAGGAAACATGGCGATCTGGCAGCAGGTAGCCGACGGCCGAGTCCCGGCGTGGGTCCACCACACCCCCGCACCGGAGGCAATCCACCACGCGGAAGACATCCCCGGTGGTGGTGGCGGTGGCGGAGGCGACGGCCGTGCCAACGGCGGCGGCGGCGGCGGCGGCGGCGGCGACAGCCGAGGGGGAGGACGACGAGTGGTGCCGGCCCCGGGCAAAGGCCCCGGCCGAAGACCCATCCGCCGGGGCCCCCTCGGACCCGGCCCACTGCATGCGAACCAGGCTCTGCGGAGGCAGTGACGCCAGCAGTGGCCCGGACAGGAGGGCCGGCGCCGGGGACCCGGAGAAGGCCGCCCCGGCTCGGCGCCAGGGACCCTCGGAGATGTCCTGCTCGCGGAGGATGTCCCTCAGGGTCCGGGCCGCGGCCACGCGCACCGAGGCGGCCGACTCGCTGCGAATCTGGCACCGGAAGTAGTCCGCATCATGGTAGTAGTAGGAGGTGGCGCGCAGGTCGTGCGAGTACAGCCGCACCGCCTCAATGATGGAGGGGGTCAGCAGCACCGGCGAGGGGGCCGGGGCCCCGCCGAGGGCCGCGACGCCGGGGCCAATCGCCGCGGCGGCCGTGGCGGCCGTGGTCCCGGCGGCCCGGGCCCGGCGCAGGTGCCCGTGCGTCGGCGAGGCATACGTGAACTCCGGCAGCGACAGCTGCAGCGGCGCCGGGTCATTCGGCCGCGGGATCAACAAGTGCGCCTGGGCCAGGGAAAGGAGCGTCTCGCGGAAGGCCCCCACCAGGCAGTACCGCGCGAAGTAGATCCACGACGAGTCCATCAGGTATTCGAGGAAGGCCTGGACCGAGCTGTCCGGCCGCAGGCTGGCATGCGCGTGCAGGGTCTGGTGCAGGTGCGCCATGCTCAGGTACACCAGCACGCTGAAGCGCTCGACGATGAAGGACCGCACCGCGGCGGCAAAGCGCTCGGCATGCGGCGACACCGGGGCCCGGGCCGAGAAGGCCGGCTGCAAGGCCGGCGGTGTGTTCGGGCCCCCGGGCCCGGTGGACCGGGTGTGCATCGACGAGTGCGCCAGCCGGGCCAGCGCCGCGGCCGACAGCCCCGTGGTGTTCTTCAAGCTGGCCGGCATTTCCTGCAGCACTTCCACCACATCATACCCGAGGGCCGCCAGGGCCAACCGGGTCAGGCAGTACACCACGGCCAACAGCCGCCGGTAGGTGGGATCCGCCAGGTTCAGGGAGCTCAGCCCGGCCACCGAGGTGGGGTCCGCCACGGACAGCCCGGCCGGCATGGGGCGCCGGTGGGGCGGCCGCGGGCTCCCTGGGCCACTGCCGCCAGGGACCGGGGGATTGGACCCCCGGCGTTCCGCCGGCACCGGGAACAAATCCGACGACAGGGACTGGGACACCTCGGCCGCGGCGACGGCCGCCGCGGCCACCGCCGTGGTCGATGGGGCTCCCAGGGGGGTGCCCTGCGAGAAGCTGCTCCCCCGGCGGGGGGCCTGGCCGAGGGCCTGCGCGCGCGGATGCTGCGGCCCGCCCGGCATGGCGTTCCCCACCCCGGAGCCCGAGCCATCGGGCCCCGGCCCATCATCCCCCTCCAGCCCGGCCCCCATCAGGGACAGGGGGCTCAACAGGTCCCCGGTGGCGGTGGTCGGCGTCATGGCGACCGCCGGCTGCCCGGGCGGCACCGGGCCATGGCCACCGGAGCCGGAGGCCGCCGGCCGGGCAGCCGACGAAGCCACCCGGGTCAAGGCCGCCACATCCTCCGATGTCAGGGCCAGCCCGGCCAGCAGGTCCCCGACCACCGGCTGCTCGGCCACCAGGTCCTCCAACGGCCGGCGGCCGGCACCGAGGATGCGCAGGCTGTCGGCGATTTGGGCCTGCACGCGGACATTGATCACGGCCAGGGTCACCAGCACGCTGGCATCCAGGAGCTGCTCCTCCACCTCGGCATCCAGGAGCTGGCCCACGACCGGCACCATCCAGGTCGAGGGGAAGAAGGTCCCGGCCAGGGCGCCAGCCGCCACGGCTGCCACATTCAAAAAGAACTCCAGCACAAACTGCAGGTCATTCAGCATGGGCATGTCCTCGGCCGTGGCCAGCGGAATCAAATCCCAGTCGGACACGCCGTCCGACCGGTTGAGCCCGGTCACATCGGCCGCCGCCAGCAGGGCCACCCGCAAAATGGCCTCCGCCGTTTGGAGCAAGTCCCGCGCGCTGATCGTGCTGCCGGTCGGCCGCGGCCCCTCGAGCCGCTGCCACTCGGTCACCGTCATCCGGGCGAAGGTCAGCAACTCGGCGAAAAGGCGCTTCCGCACGACCATCGGCCAGCAGGGCCGGCCGAAGCCGGCCGAGGCCGCCTCGGCCGGGAGCCGGGGATCGGCTTCCGCCCCGGCGCCATCGGCCTCCCCGGGCAGGGGCTGATCCGGGTTCAGCGGGCTCGGCGGCGTGGCCAGGTCCTCCAGGCTGGCATCCCGGCTGCCGGGAGAGCCGGAATCCCCGGTCATCGGCGACATCGGCGCATCCAGCTCCCCGACCGCCCGGCTATGCGGGTCCCGGTGGGGGGCGCTCACCGGCAGCAGGTATTCCAGGGCCACGGCCGCCGCGGCTTCCTCAATGTCATCGGCCCCGCTGAGGTAGGCGAAGAGCGGCTCGAGCCGGGCCCACGCACCGGGGGCCGTGGACAGGGCACTGGCCGCCGCCGCGGCGGCGGCCGTCGACCCGGCATACGGCGTCCGCGAAGCCGCCGACGCCAAGGATGCCGAACTGTGCGTCGGGTGGTAGGTGCCCAGGGCGGGCGAGGCCCCGGCACTGGAGACGGCACTGGTCCCGCCACCGAGGCCGGCCACATTCCCGGGCCCCAGCGACCCGGCCGTGGACAAGGCCGACCCCGGGGAGTGGTGCGTGTGGTAGCTGCTCGACACCGAGGGGCCCGCATTGAAGGGCGACCCGAGACCGGCCCCGCTGGCCAGGGCACTGCCCAGGGTGCCGACCAGCTGTCGGCCAGCCAGATCCACCGGGTCACTGGGGAACCCGGACCGCGGGTCGCAGAAGGTCCGCACCGCCGGGCAGTCGGCCAGGACAAAGTGCAACCGCGGCCCGGTGGCCACGAGCCAAAGCTGCCCGGGGGTTCGAAGACGCAAGCGCCCTCCGGCCGGGGGCTCCGGCTGGCCGGCCGGGGCCCCCTCCCTGCCGGACCCCTCAGCCGAGGCGGCCATCAGCTCGGCCTCCGGGGCATCGTCCCCGGCATGATCGATGGCCGGGGAAAGGTCGTCCGGGGCCCAGAGGGAAAAGTGCCCCCCGGCTTCCGGCACCGCCACCGTGAGCGAATGGCGCACACGCAGCGGCAGGAGAACCGGCCCGACCGATCCGGTCGATCGTGGAAGGGCCAACTTCAGGGCCGGGATGTCGGGCAGGGGGAAATCCCGCGACGCGCGCAGCGACCGCTTCAGGCTGTCGCCCAGGGTCTCCGTCACGAAGGGCCGGCTCAGCTGGAAGCGCACCAGGTACACATACCACGATTCGACATTCAGCAGCACCGGCACAATGTCCGCCGGGTTGCCCACCAGCAAGAGCCGCAGGTCGTGGAGGAATTGCTCGGTGACCGAAATTTGCCCATGCATGGAGGGCGACCGGGCGAAGGAGCCACTCCGGGACATGGTCCCGGCCCCGGGGCCGGGATCGACCGCCAGCCCGCCCGGCCCGACCCCCAAGGCAGCCAGATCCGGGTCCTGGTGTGCCTGGAAGGAACTCGACAGGGCCACCAGCAGGAGCTCCAACACCGCGGGCTGGACCACACGCACCGAGGACCGGGAATCCGCATGGCCCAGAGACGAATGGGCCTGGCCGATGGCCAGCTCAAACAGCGACCGATATACCAGGTGCGACATCGGCCGCTGGGCAAAGTACGCGGCCATGTACGGGAAGGCCCGGTCATTGAGCTCGGCCAGCAGGTGCCGGCTGTTGGCATCCCGGCGCCGAGCCGTCCGCCGCAGGAGCACCCCGATGATCTTGACGATGGTCACATGGATGATCTCATTGTCCAGCCACAGGGCCGGCATGAGGGCCGTCAGGCCGTCCTTCTGCACGAAGCCATCCACCGCGATGGCGGTCGGCTGGTCGGCCAGCCAATTCAGCAGCACCGGCAGCACATCCACCAGGGCGTCGGCCACGGCGGCCTGGCGCCGGGTCAGCCGCGAGGGGACCCCCCGCAGCTGGGCCGCCGCCTGGCCGGACAAAACCGACTCGGCCGTCGAGGCCACGGCATTCACCATGGACGAGGTGCTGTTGCTGATGAACATCAACACCCGGTGGAGATCGCGCAGCTCCAGCGGCTGCTTGGCCGTCACCATGCGATTCAGCAGGAAGATGATGTAGGCACGGAGCTCGCGCACATCGTGGCAGGTGAGCAACTGCCCCGTGCCCGGGGAGGACGGGCCGGCCGATGCCCCGGCCTCGGGGCCCACATCGCCGGCCCCCTCATCCGCCCCGGTGGCAGTGCCGATCACCGAGTGGCCGGTGTCCCAGAAGAACAGATGGTCCGAGAGGATGTCAAAGAGGCTGGCCACGCCGAGGGTCCCCCGGAGCCAGGCCGCGGCGTCGGGCCCCCCGCCGGCGGCCGCCGCGATGTCCGACAGGACCCACCGCTGAACCGACACCGGGGCCCCAATCCAAATGCCCCAGTTCAGCAGCAGGAAGCGGTATTGCGCCACGCGCAGGAAGGCCCGCAGGGCCGGGTGTGCCGACCCGGCGGAGAAGCCCACCGGCAGCTCGGCCCCGATGACCGAGGCCACCTCCAAGCTGAGGGCCGAAGAGGAGGCAGCCCCGCCGGGGCCGGCCCCGGGGCCGCTGCCATCGGAGCCGCCACCGGCACCCGGTGACGAGGCACTCCCGGAGCCGGGATCCCCGGGCCCCGACAGAGCCGCCTTCCCGGACAGCCGGTGCTCCATGATGTGGGCCAGCAGCGGGAAGAAGCCCCCCTGTAGGGCCTCCAGCAGCATGGCCGGGCGCGAGGCAAGCAGAGCCAGCATCACTTGCAGGGTGGTGGCCGCCAGGTCCACCCGGCGGAGGACCGTCTCGGCCGAGTGGCCGGCCGTCGCCGCGCGCAGGGCCCCGACCGCGCTCACCTGCGACAGGACACCGGCCAGCGACCAGGGATTCAGGGGCCCATACAGCCCGGCGGTCCATGCCTGCAGGGCCGCCGCGCAGAGGCTACTCGGCAGGCTGGTGGCCGAGGAACAGAAGACCGGCGGGCTGAGGGCCCCGGTCGAGGCAGCAACCAGCCCCGGCCGGCGGACCGGCTTCGAGCCCGGAGCCAATAGGAGCACCGCTCCGGCCGCCGCCAAAAGGGCCTGCGGATTGACCTCCGACCCGCCGCCGGGGAAGAGGGCCAGCCCATCGATGGCGAAGATGCGCTCGCAGCCAGGGGGGGCCACCGACCGGCACTGCCAGAAGGCAAACACCCGGCCCACGGGGGAGTCCATCTGCCCGAGGCAGGTGTCCAGGTCGGCCCCGGCCGGGACCGCCTGCACCAGGGGCTCGGCCGCGCGCGGGTGGTATGCGAACATCAGCGACATGCCGATGCGCAAGTCGGACCCGAGGGAGCGGCTGCCCGGTGGCGGGTGCGGAGAAAAGCGTGGAGTCCATCCCGGCGGGAGGACCGGCAAGGAGGAGTCGGGTCAGACACCAAAAAAAAAAGAGAAGAAAGAGAGCGTCCCCGGGAGGAGGGCCAGCGGACAGACAGAAAGGTGCACCGAGGGACGACAGCACGCACGCTAGCGAAAGCTCCTGCTGGCTGGGCACCTCGGGCCCGGGCTGGGGAAAGCGCGCCGCCGCAGCCGGCAGGCCTTCGGCCGAGCCGACCACCGGCAGCAGGCCGGCCGAACCGAGGTCCGAGAGGCCGATCCCGGCGAGGTCCATGTTGGCCGCCAGGAAGGGGTGCACCAGGTCCCCGGTGTAGGCCGGCCCCAGACCGAAGAGAATGTGCGGAATGGTCCCGGGGACCAGCTCGCAGGCTGTGACATCAGGCCCGTCGGAGGAGAAGCCACCCGACATGGTGGGGGCTCGGCGGCGCAGGTGCGGCCGGAAGCGCCGCTGGGTGGGCGACGAGTCCGGCACGGGCGGCGCCCCGGCGAACATGTGCACCGCGCCGATGCGCCCGCGCAGACAATCAAACACCGGGTTGGCCTCCATGCTCCAGCCATACTTTTGCTTCGGCCGACAGCCGATGGTCGACAGAGGAAGGGGAGACTGCGCATGACAGCGGCGGCGGCGGCGGCGGCGGCGGCGGCGGCGGCGGCGGCGGCGGCGGCGGCGGCGGCGGTAGTGGTGGAAGGGAGAGCGGCGAGTACATGCATGTGAGCGCGGGACATGGGGAGGAAAGGGCATGCTGTGAAGGGGCAGGACCGAGGGGAGGAAAGTCCACGGCCGGCCATGTGCGTACCTCATTCAGGAAGGGGAAGCGCAGGGGCCGCGACCGGGCATACGCCGGATCGTCAGTCGCCCCGGGGGCCGGGTCGGCCGGCTTCTTGGTACCCTTGCCGGCATGCGGCTCAGCACTCGGGGGCAGGGAGTCCGGCGACGAGAGAACCAGACACCCATCGATGTACAGCGCCACCTGCCCGGGGAGCCCGGTCTCGGCGGTGGATGCCGTGCCGGACGACGAGCCGAAGGGCCACCACCAGCTGCTGGACACGGTCTCCGGCGCGTGGGACACAGCCACATGGTACCAGCGCCCGGGGCAGAAGGGAAAGTCCTGTTGCGGGGCAGGGGCACATGTCAGCACGCCGAATCCCAGACAGAACAAACAGGAGGCAGGACGAAGGGGCAAGGGGTGAAGGGCGAGGGCGGGGGGGGGGGGGGGGGGACAAGGGGCAGGCGAGTGGACAACGCACAAAGGCCGTCGAGTCGACCAGGTTCCGGGGGATCGGGCGATCCTGGCGCTCGTAGCGTCGGCGCTCGTCCTTGGTCAGCGCGGGCGAGAGGCCAGTCGACTCGACCACCAGGCGGTAGTGATCCACCTGAGCCACGGCAATCGACGGGTCCAGCGCCTCGATATTCGGGTACCGCTCAAAGAAGGCATGGACACCGGCCCCGAAAACCGTGGGCGAGGTGTCCCGAGCGGCAAAGCTATCCACCAAGGACCGAGTCAGTCCCATGAGTGAGCGAGCGAGCGAGCGAGCGAGGCCAGAGGGAGGCAGCGAAGAGGGCGAGAAGCGGCGAGAAGTGGCAGAGTCGCGCACCTGTAGAGGTACTGCCGAGCGGGAGGTGTCGGCGCGCGGGGCGGAGTGAAGGGCGCTGGCGGCGGCACCGCCGAGCGGCCCGATGCCCCGAGCTTCGGCGACCCGGGCAGAGAGGGCTCCGGCGAGGCGAGCCCCGTGGCCCGAGTGACCGAGGCCAGCATGCCGCCCAAGAAGGAGGACGAGGTGGAAGTCTTGCCGGGGGAGCGTTCCGAGGCCGGCTGCTGTGGGTGTGCTGCCGAGGCCGGCTGCTGGCCCGGGGAGCCCGGGGCTTCGGCCGGGCGCTCGACCCGGGGGATGGCCACCGGGCCCACGGGGCAGGGCTCCAGCCACACCCAGGCGGCGAAAAGATAGCCCTTGGCGCGCTCCGGCCAGGCGATGGCCGGCAGGACCAAGCCCGAGTGCATGCCATCCAGGGAGAAGTAGCTCGGGACGGCCGGGCCGCCGGCCGCCGGGACCAATGGCGCCGGGGCGCTCGGCCAGAGCATATACAGCGACAGCCAGGGGTGGTTCTGGGGAAGAGAGGGACGCTCGAGGGCCCCGGGCCCGGTGTTGTTGGATGACGACCGGCCATGCCCCGGGGAGCCGGGGGATCCGGGGATGGAGGCGCTGCCAGCCGATGCGGTCGCCGGGGCTGAGGGAGAGAATTGCACCCCACTTGAGCTTAGTCCGCCGAAGACCGTGCGCATGCCGAGCACCAGCCGAGACACGGAGTCGGGCTGGATTGGAGAGGGGGGCGGAGATTGGGACCCCGAGACAGCAGAGGGATTAGTTGGCGATTGGCGGGCGAGGGAGAGAGGGAGGGAGGGAGGGAGATAGAAAGAACAGACGAAAGGTTGTGAGCAAAGGCGTCAGGGGCAAAGGAGAGAGGGAGAGGGAGGGAGGACAAAAGAAGAGGGACACGGTCGCTACGGGACGCACGATTGGCGAGACATCTACGAGAGCAATGCAACGAGAGGGGGCCGGACAGACCCCCGGGTCGGCCGGCTCCAGGCACCGGCGGTGTCGAGCGGTAAGACGTTCCAGCCGGGCCGAAACCGACCGCAGGGCCAATACCAGATCCTTCGCATCCTTGGGCGTGGGCGCTGGCGACCGGATTGACAAGGGAGATGAGTCGGCCGGCCCGGCAGGCACGCCGAAATACCCGCAGACAACCAGGTCCGAAACAGCGTCTGAGCGTGGGAAGTGTCAGCCGGGGACCTACGGCGGAAGGGAAACACAGAGGAAGAGGGAGCGAGGCAGGGAGACAGAAAGACAGGCAAGGAGAGCCAAGGAGAGGGGGGGAGGGGGGGGCCGGGGCAAACAAGACGCACAGAGAACACCCAGGAAGGAGGAACGCCGGGTGGCGAGAGTCACCGCGACTGGCAGGAGGCAGAGAGACTGCCAAAACTCCAGCAGGGGGCCGAGCATGTCGGCCAGGGCGGTCACCGGCACGCAGGGGATGATGGCCCGGCCAAAGAAGCGCGGATCGCTGTCCCGGCCCGGCAGATAGGGCGTGGCCGAATCGATCAGCAGCTTGAGCGCGGGGAAGCGATTCGTCGCGGCGGACGTCGTGGCGATCGACAGCGGCCGGACACAGGCACAAAGTGACGTCCAGAGAAGCTCGAGAAGCTGCGGTCGCATGAGTCAGTCGGTGTCCGTAAGCGGTGGTGTCTATGTCTGCGTGTGGGGGAGGGGGGGGGGGGGAGAGAAAAAGAGAGACCTGTGTGCGCGTCCGCGTGTGCGTGCGCGCAAAATCGGACATGGCGGGCAGGAAAGGGGGCTGGGACGCACACTGGCCGAGATCCACGGCGACAGACGTAGGGCCGATCGAAGGAGCAGCTGGAAGGAGGACACCATCCACTGAGAGCAATCGGTCGGCAGGGCCTGCAAGAGCTGCGCCCGGACCAGAGCGTGGGAGAGCATGTGCAGGGTGCATGCGAGGATCTGCCAGACGAGGAGGAGCATGGTGAAGAGGGATGACGACGGGGCGAAAAGAGCGCGAAGGGAGGCAAAAGGCAGGGGTAAGTCGAGGGGAGGCCCTTGGCGGGGGGGGGCGGGAAAACCGGGCGGCGCACCTGACGCGCTGCCTCATTCAGGTCGGCTTGCTCGTGGGCCGGGATCGGCACGGTCGGTCGCGTCTGCTGGGCATGCTCGACGAACGGCGCAAAAGCGGTCGGGTTGGCGGCGGAGATGTCGGCCAGCTTGCGAATGATGGCCGCGTCAAGGTCAGAGACGGTCGACAGGAAGAAGCTGTCGATGATCGGGCCAAGGTCATCCCGGGGGAGCTGTGACGCGACTGCCGCCATGGCTGTGTGCTCGTGTGCGCGTGTGCGCGTCTATATCCGTGCGCCGGCACAGACGCTGAGGGGGAGGATGGGAAAAGGGGACAGGGAGAAAGAGATAGAGGGGAGGGGGGGGGAGGAGGCGTCGTCCACGCCGGAGAGGTCAGAAGCGCGCCCCGGCGCCGGGGGGGGGAAGAGGATGCGGGCGGCCGAAAGGGGAGGGAGCCGGAGGGAGGACGACGGGGGGGAGCAGGGAAAGTGGAAGGAGAAAGGAGTGGAGTGGTGGACGCCTCTTACCTCCCCCGCGGCCGGCCGAGGGGGCTGGCCCATCTACTTTCTTGACACCGGCGGAGGAAGGGCCCGCCGCCGCCGCCGCCGCCGCACACACACACACACGCACACACATACACACACACACACACACACACACACACACACGCGGGGGACGCCCTCCTTCCCTTCCCCGGCGAGCATGGGCCGGAGATCGCCCCCAGTCCTATCTGCGGTGGTGGTGCCCTGCCCAAATGCGGCACTGCCTTCCTGAAGGGGGGCCCCCACTATACGCGGCCGCGCCGGCTCCCCCTCGCGACCTTGCCCCCACTGTCTTCGCCAGGGGGGCGGCCGGCCAGCCGGCCTGCCGGGGGGGG